TTAGTTTGACCACCCTCCTATCTCTGCTTACAGTTGGTCACGGTCACTGAGCCAGCATATCTAAACCTCCTGCTCTAAGGTTTTCAAAGAATATGCTGTTTTCCTGCTCTTATGTGCCCTGCATGGTTTCAAGCAGACAAAGATGGATGTTAAAATGGGGGTTCACGTCTGGCTACAGGGTGGTAGTGTAGACATACCCTGAGCTACTAACGAGAAGAAATGGCACTTTGCTCAGTAACTTAGGTTTGAGGCTGGGAGCAGAGCTCAGAGATAGGATGAAATGGGGAGGATGTGATGAATGAGAAACAATGACATTATATGGACTGAAGGGAGTTCTGGCCCCCACATACTGAACCTCGAAAAGCATGTCCACATCATCCAGTGAGTTCTGCAGCACCGGGCTCACGAGGGCAGATAACGATCTCTTATACCGCTGAGCAGCTGGGAAAAGCATGGCTGGGGAAAAAGAGAGATTTGAGTCAGTTGCACGCACTAAGGCTATGTCTACACTACCAGGTTATTTCGAAATAACTCTCAAAATAAGCTTATTCCTCTTCACAAGCAGGAGTTATTATTTCAAAATAACAAGCCCGTTATTTTGAAATAACAGGCTTGGTAGTATGGACGCTCGCCTTGTCATTTCAAAATAAAGGAAGTTATTTCAAAATAACCCCCCACTGTAGACATGTCCTAGGAGAACCAAGGACATCTTGGTATCAGCTTTAGTCAAAGTTCAGTGTGTTGCAGAAAATATGCTGCAGGGAAGAACTTTGCACTTGGCAAGGAAGTTCACTGTATGGATTGTAAACATTTATTTAGATAAGTTTTATGAGGTAGGGGACATTTTGTTGCTCTTTGTCTGTTTGGTGCCTACCACAATGGGGTGCACGATCCAGGAGCCTAAACACTACCAAAGTACAAATATAAATAATAGGACCTAGATGTTTTCTCTATAATTCAGGACCAGAAAGGAGCCTCTGTTTGGGAAGCGAATACTGTCACAGGGAAAGGATATGTCACTCTGTTCTGGAGCTGCCATGTATAGTTAGGAAGTCACTAAACCCTTGTTTTGTTGCTCACATTCCACCTAAAACAGTATAGGCAACACTTACTCCTCTGCAAACCAGTAAGCCACAGCTGTACTAAATCCAGGCTTGGAAGAATTGCTATCAGTTAGGTGCTGATTTCACCACATGCTCACAAACTGACAAAAAATATTTCCATCTACAGCAATCAGAATGTATAGGCAGGCAAAAGTAGAAAAATGATGTTTTGAGGCTTTATTCCAGTTTGATTTCTGGATATTAACATATATGTTTACATATAATGTTAACAATTTGTGTTTTAACATTACAGACCTTGAACTTTTGAATTTCAATTTATGTCATGTATTATTTTCTGACTCCTCATGTTGTCTGATACTCCCCCATAAAGCCACACAAATTTGAACATTTAAAATCAAGAAAAAATTAAAATGCTTAACATCCATAATTTTGTACAATTTTGAACATTTAAATCAATATTTTACCCTTTAAAAATGTTTAAAAATTAGCAGTAATATTATCTGTCAACATTATAAAACCATTGAATTCTTCCAAGTTTGGACATATGTAGCATGAACTTATCCATGAAATGGGACACTTAAGTGTCATTCCTTCTGAAGGCAGAGCTCAAGTGAGGCAGTAAGAAGACCTCTTCCACCTCCAAAGCCAATATGGGTAAACAGCACAGTAAAAGGGCAAAAGAGGCAAAAAGGTATCCTTTAAAAATAGAAGTCAAATCATAGACGAAAAAGGGAAATGAGAAGAAACTCTAGCAAGTCATGTAAAAGTATAATTAGACACGCCAAAGGAAGAATATGAACAACCTGTTAAAAATGCAAAAACTAACAGCAATTTTTTGAAGTGAATCAGAAGCAGGAAGCCTGCCAAACACTTGGTGGACCCTTGGAAAAATCAAAGTGCTCAAGGAGCACTTAGGGAAGGTTATTGCAGAGAAGCTAACTGAATTACTTACATCTGTCTTCATTACAGAGACAGTGGTGGAGATACCCGGACCTAAGCCATTCTTTTTGGGTGACACATTTGGGGAACTGTCCCAGACTGAGAGGTTTTTTAAAAAATGATAAATTAAACAGTAGTAAGTCACCAGGGCCAGATAGTATTCACCCAAGTGTTCTAAAGGAACTCAAATATGAAAGTACAGAACTATTAACTGTGATGTGTAAGCTATCATGCAGTCAGCCTTTATACCAGATGATGGGAAGATAATTAACATAACACCCATTTTTATAAAAGGCTCCAGAGGCAATCCTGACAATTATAGGACAGAAAGTGTAACATTTGTAGCAGGAAAATTGGTTGAAAGAATAGAATTAACAGACATACAGATAAATTGAATATGTTGGGGAAGACTCAACACAGTGCGACTCCCTTTTGTACTCCCTTTTGTAAAGGGAAATCATGTTTCACCAGTTTATTAGAATTCTTTGAAGGTATCAACAAGAATATGGACAAAGGTGATCTAGCTGACACAGTGTACGTGGATATTCAGAAAGCTTTTGACAAGGTCCTTCATCAAAGACTCTTACGCAAAGTAAGCAGTAACAGGATAAGAAGGCTGGTCCTCTCATGAATCAGTAACTAGTTAAAAATGGGAAACTAAGGGCAGAAATAAATGGTCAATTTTCACAGTAGAGAGAGGTAAATAAGAGGGTGCCCCAAGAATCTGTACAAATGCAAGTAAACATGTTCATAAATCTGGAAAAACAGGGTAAACCCTGAGGTAGCAAACTTTGCAGATGATACAAAATTATTCAAGAGATTTAAGTCCAAAGCAAAAAGCTACAAAGGGATCTTACTAAACTAACCAAGTGACAAATGAAATTCAGTGCTGATAAGTGTAAATTAATGCAGGTAGGAAAAAATAATCCCAGCTATACATTTTCTCCTAGTCTACTATAACTATATATATTTTCAGACTAATCACTATCTGCAATTCAATGCTAGAGAGAGCTAGAAAATAGATTAAAATTCTGGACAGATGGATAATTCTAGAATCACAGTCATATCTCCATAATAGTGCTTTACGTCTATAACTATCTCCCAGGCACTGTAAAAATTATGTATACAGCCTTTATCCCCCACAGAAATGCAACAGCTATTTAATAGTGACACTGTACAACAGCTTTTGAGAAAGGAAGTGAAGGATGATATTGCCAGCTGAAAGTCCACAGGGAGAATTTAGGTAGGTAGAATATGGATTATTACATTAGAATTTAGCTAAGAGTGATCAATGCCCTTATTTTACAACTCTCCAGAAGACATCACTTCCATAAGCACAAGGCTCCCTGAATGTTAGGAAATTGGCACCGTGCTGACTTAAGGTGCATCTACACTTTGAATTGGGAGTGTAATTCTGAGCTGGGGGAAGATATACACATGCTAGCTGTGATCCAGCAAGCACACTGAAAATAGAGTGTAGCTGTGGCGGTTAGTACGGCAGGAAAGGCAGGCTACCCTGAGGGCATGTTGTTACATGGGGTGGTTGGCCCAGAGGCATAACAAGGGTGTTACCTGCCCGGAGGCAAAGGAAAAATTTGCCCTGCAGCCACTGTGCGGCAGGGCCCCGAACCTGGTGCACAGCTGAGCCTGACTATGGGAGGAGGGGTGGAGCTAGTACAGTGTTTTCCCTCACCCCCTCCAGTTTGGGGCCAGGCCCCTGAATGCACTAACCCACCGGTGGAGGTGGAGAAGGGTTGGGCTGGGGGTAGAGGAGGCTGGGGAGGAGGCTCCAGCTGATGGCGACAGGCAGAGGAGGAGCAGACGAGCTGAGGGATAACAGGGGGAGGAGAGAGGGACTAAATTGGCACTCCCCACCCAGTGTGGTGCCCGGGGGCAACTACCCCCCCCCCCCCCCCACGCCTCTCCATCTCTTGTGCCTCAGTGGCTACATTCTATCTTTAAGCATGCAGGCTTGTTTGATGGGTACATTTCCTCAAGCTGGAATTCTCACCCCCACTTTGAAGAGTAGACACACCTTTAGAAAAATACCTCTTACTAAATCACTAACTCCACTTTTGATGGCTCCTATCCACAACTGACTAGGATGACATTCCTTTGTAGGGTCCATCTCTTGTGCCTCAGTGGCTACATTCTATCTTTAAGCATGCAGGCTTGTTTGATGGGTACATTTCCTCAAGCTGGAATTCTCACCCCCACTTTGAAGAGTAGACACACCTTTAGAAAAATACCTCTTACTAAATCACTAACTCCACTTTTGATGGCTCCTATCCACAACTGACTAGGATGACATTCCTTTGTAGGGTGCGAGCTTTGATTGGGCCAGGACCTGAACGTGTTAAATTTGCAAACAAGAGGCTTGTGTGTATTTTGTGTAAAAAGCCCTTTATATGGGTCAGTTTTGCATTAACTCTCTGAACTGTTTGCTTGGCCCCGTATGCAGATATTAAACCTTAGCAACAGTTCTTAGGAACTTCTGTCTGTCTTCATAGATGTTGTGTTCTTTTTTTTTTTATTTTCTCTTGTTCAGCATTTTAATTCAATCCCTCCCCCCTCTCAATTATTCTAACCCCAGTGATTAACAGTTCCCTCAGGATTTGTATAGGCATTTACAGAAAGCAATTTCAGGTTTTATTTACTAAGTCTTTACAAGCTTGTAAATTTAGCACAAAAACCAAGATGGAGAATTATTTGCTGCCAATCTTAAGGAAGTCTGAATTTAATTATTATAAATTCATCTAGAAACTTTTCTGCTGATTTGACTTCCTTCCACACTTACAGCTCTCACATGAGTTAGTGGTACACTATCAAAGAACAGCACAGGACCATCTGTATGGCTTACCATCTCTTTTCTAGTTTGGGCTCCAAAGGAATTTCCTGTAGCATTACTAGATATTTTGTTCATAGCAATTTATATCATATTGATGATGAGGAGGAGGAAATGTCTGGTTCACATCATTCACAGAAACTGTGACTATCAGAAAGAAGTACAGGCAGTCCCCGGGTTACGTACAAGATAGGGACTGTAGGTTTGTTCTTAAGTTGAATTTGTATGTAAGTCGGAACTGGTACATATTGTAGGGGAAACTCTAGCCAAACATTTCTCCAGAGCTCAGTTTTATTCTCCCACACCTCACTTCCCTCAGTCCTTTATTCTCAAGCTGAGGTGTCTGCTGAGAAAAGCCGCTCCGCGTCTCCCTGGTCTGCTGGAAGGGTGTGGGGGGGGCGCTAGCTTCACGTCTCCCTGGTCTGCAGGGGGGGGAAGCAGCTAGTGCGGGGTTGCCTCACCCCATTTGTAAGTAGGGATCCGATGTAAGTCGGATCCATGTAACCCGGGGACTGCCTGTATCAGAGGGGCAACCGTGTTAGTCTGAGTCTGCATAAAACAACAAGAAGTCCTGTGGCACCTTACAGACTAACAGATTTATTGGAGCA